GGGAAAGATGGGCGGGTAGACAAATAGACGGAATGATGGATGGCTATACTCGTGGGTGGATGGAGAGATTGTGGTTTTTTTGTTGCTGTTGAAAATATTGCCGTTCCTATTTTTGTAATCACCATCTGTGGGGTTAATGCTACATATACTGCTAACGTGTCTTATTTTGGGTACTGTTTTCCACATTACAGCTGTATTCGCAGTCAATTCTACTGGTTAAATTGCTAACAGCACTAGGATAAGGCCCTTGAGAGTGAAGAAATGACATCATAAATTGTTCAACAACCAAATTTGAATACCTGCCACGCTTGAAAAACACATGCTCAAACACAAATACTCTTTCTTCAATAGTTAACACCATTATAGGTATAGTAAAGGTAAAGGTGAGAGGGTTTTATCCGATATGGCCCAGTCTCTCTCCGCAGAATAGCTAGCTGCCTGCCAAGAAAGTCGCACAGAGCACGACCTTCGTAGCTTCGGCGACGATTCCAGTGGATCTCCGTAAAATTGCATTCGTGAACTAAACGGCACTGCCGTGAAACGAGCTCACGACTTTCGCTAAGACCAATAACTAAAATATCGGTACATAGCAGTGATTATCTAAACAAACCGTTACACGACGAGTGAAACATGGCGTAATACACAAATTTCATTGCGGTGCCCAAATAACTGATTTCAAAAAGTCTACAGCGTTAAACATACGCTCATGGCCAAATCTCTTCATATCCTGAACCGCTTCCAGAATCCTTGGACGGCCAGACAACATAAAATGCTACTTCAAATTTCATAGACATTCAAATGTTTACTTTTGGCCAAGAATTTCTCGTACTTCTGAATATTATCTCTGTTATTTAAGGACCGTTGTGACGTGACGCGTGGTTTAAATGTTTACAATGTTGAGTAGGGATTTTCCTCTCAACACATTCCCTCCACCAGATTAAACGAACTAAAATCTGAGCTATGTTGCTCTCAGACAAAGTCCTGGATGCCCAAGAAAACAACCATATTGGCTCGTTAAGTACTTTAACATTAGCTGCACTTGGTACCCACAAGAGAAGGAAAGGAATTTTAGGTGTCTATCATTATACTAAATGAATTATTAGACAGGGCAAATGATTCCTCCGTCATCTACCTTCTCCCGGTGTTATTATGAATAATTAAAGAATTATTATCATATTAATTGAGCCCCCACCAAATGGCATTCTATCTTAACAGTTTAATTAAACATGTAAGAACAGACATTTGGAATTACAAAAACTGAAGCAGGATAAGACCATATATTTGATTTATTAACCTAGCAATCAGAGTATGACATTAGTCATCATTATTGTTATAATAGATAGTGATGGTATGGTGATAATGAGAGGCTTCAGCTAGATAACTGAGCACCTAAGATTAGAGTGAAGGGATAATGGTGGTGATAAGTTTACATCCATAACACATGGTGAGACGTAACTTAATTATCATAGAAACTCTGACAGCCGTGGGTACTGTCAAGTTCTTCCACCTTTTCCTCCCAGTTCTCCACCTCGGTCCCTGCTCGTCCCCACCTCGTTCTCCACCTCGTTCCCAGCTGGCCGAGTCTAACACAATGTAGTCTACTTCATGGACTGATCGTCACATGGGCTCTGTAATCATGGAAACAAAACACATACGTGTAGTATCTTGACTTACACTAAGAATACATGTATCAATTATTGTAACATATAATAATAAAATATATCCCATCACTCCTCCTCATATTCACATTCTCTCCAGTCTAGTCTGAAGGTCTTTTGTCTTACATGTGCGTCACATATCCTGCCTTCCTCTCATGCTATGTCATGATAGTTGACTTTCTAAGTCTGTTGTCCGTCTTCACTCAGACTTCCAATTGGCTGACATTGATATTACATGACCACGTCGAGCAGGTTATGTGCTGAAAACTCAAACAATTTATATGTGCACGCTGTCCTGAATATTATCTTTCAGTGACAGTAAATACTGTACACCCATCATTCTTCCCCTGGGGTTATAAATCCCCTGTTTAGGTGAACACCTTAAGTGAGCACATGGTGGGCACACAAAACGTAACAGCATCCCTGCACATATGGGCATGATTTCCCACAGTCCAAACTCACATTTTGGGTTGACCATGAAACAATATAATTACATTTCATTATAGCAAATGTCATTGTTCACATCTTATTTTATACACATGAAAACATACACTGAAAAACATGTGACACAAACATACAAGAAATAGGAATAGTTTAGCAGTTCCCTAACTGAGATACTGAATACTCACAAAGAACTATTTCAAGCAGAATGTGCAGACAAATTAGGAAAAGGTAGTATAGACTAAGCTTAACTCCCTAACCTATCTATACAAGATTAAAATTAATATTCACCTGGGAACTTTCCATCAATCGCCAAAACAGGATCGGACCGTAAAATTTACCTTTTAGGTCGACCTGTGTTTGTTTGCCGGCAGGCTGCGATTAATGACGGGAATTCCACAGGCTCGAAGTATAAGTATCAATCTATTGTCCAAATTAAACTCCTCCCTTTCCTCGGTTCTACCCAACCCTCAAGACGATGACTTAAGCCCCGCCTCTGAAGTACCTATCAGATCAAATTAACTAACAAGTGGCCTGTCAGTCAATTCTGGACTGACATCCCTAGAGCAAACATTCTTAAGTGACCCAATCTAGTTTACAACGAATCTAACTAGCCGGTGTGAAAACGGTCCGTGAAGCCATTGTGTTTACTACTTGACCCAGATCAAACATTCCTAATTGCCAAACACCTGTTCTGCCAAGAATTACACTGACTTGCGAAACTCCGACCTCCCGGCTCCACAATGTCTACTAGCCCACTCTCAGTCTCTACAGTCTGGTCAGGAGATAACATTCTGACACTGGCGTGAGAGTCAAACATAACATCCCTAGTCTGAACCAGCGGGCTGTATTACGTAGTGTTAGGTAATTTTAAACAAAGCGCAGTGGCTTTATCTCGGGGAAGGACTGAAAACATTTTAAATCAATTTGGTTTAAAGTAATATTAGGGTAAAGGGCAGAGTAAATATAATCCTGTCTCTTTAGAACCAGAAGAACTTATTACAAGTTCTAACTTCTGGAACCACTGAGATCGTCTCGTGACAACCGTTGCTTAACAATTTATTGCGGAGCCGCCTTGGTGTAGCAGCTAAACGCTCGCATGCGGATTGGAAGATCGTGGGTTCGGGCCCTGATGGAGCCAGACTTTTTTTTTAATAACCGTGGCTCCCAATTACCAGCCTTAAATGGGTTCCAAGTGAAGTCCTGGGCAGTAAAGATTCTGGCAACACCACACACCACGTGCTGATTGGTTTATAAAATATGGGTCTAGCCCTATGTACCCACGACACATTATTGCGTGAAAACGAGACCTTCAATAGTTTCTCTAAGAGGCGATGTAGCTCCCATAAACGGACAACAGTGGACTTGTTATTTAATATTTAGCAGCAGGGGTCCAGGAAAAGCAACGCTCCAGGTTAGTCTATATCAGTGGCTCTCAACGTGTGGGTCGCGACCCCCTTTGGGGTTCAAACGACCCCTTGACAGGGGTCGCTAAGACCACCGAAACACCACATATTCACTAAAGGTACACAGTAATAGAGAAATAATTTTATGGTTGGAGGTCACTGCAACATGAGAAACAGTTTAAAAGGGTCGTGGTATTAGGACGGTTGAGAAAACACTGGTCTAGATCATTCCAGTAAGTTCTCCGTTGTTGCGTACTTCTGATTTGACGTTTTTGTTATTACGTGAACAGAACAAAGTCAACAAGCCAATAAAACCTCTTCTTTCAATGAATGAATCAATCATACAAATGAGATTGATTCAAGAATGGTCATTCCTGTACCCAGAATCCTTTCGAGACTTGCTCTTTTCTCATCTTTTGTGAGAAAAAAAATCCATGTTAGCTGTGCAAGTGGCAGTCTGATTAATTGAAGCTTATCATTTCTCATACGTGTTGAGTAACCTCCAGACGACCCCGCCTTGAATCCGTCTCGCCAGGTACTTACCCGCTGTCTCTGTCCCGTCGCTCTATGCACACGATCCTTGAGAACTTTCACCTCGTCAGACTTATTACCATCGCCAACCGAATGTATAACAACAGCCAACATTTCCGTAAGTAAGGGACCTTTTTTTCTTCTTTATAATATCCAGAAACCATGAGCTGTTAACCCTTTGGCTCGGTACTATGGATATCGCAACCCTTCGGCCTTGATTCCATGATAGATATCGTAAATCTGGGAGAAATCTTTAAGCCGTTGGGGCACTGGCGTATGATGCTAGTTAAAGTTGGCTGTATATCCCTTTGAAGGACGTTGAAGAACCAACCCCATTTTTTTATTGTTGTGGTTTTACTAGGCAAATTTACGTTTAGTAATTTGCCATTGCTCACAAAACGTTTAGCTCTTGATACCACTGTTGAAACTAACGCAGGCGGTGTGGTACCGAATCGCCTGCAGCTGTAATCGAACCTGGAATCTCAGCATTACGAAGCGCGTTCGCAACACCTAAGCAACATAGACTCATATAGTGTTACTGACCAGTGGGCGCTCAATGGGTGACATTGTTAACTTCATGCAGGCCTTGCAGACATTCTCCCGCCCCCCCCCCCCCTCTAAAAAAACACACACACACACAAACAAAAAATTTTTTTTATGCCCACCATCCCAATAATTTTAGGAATTAGAAGCTTCGCCAGAGGACTAAGTGGCCCTAGAACCATAACCATATATGAGCTTTTTAAAAAGTATTTGTTTTTACATTTATTTTGTTGCAAATATATTTTTATGTTTAATTGTCTTTCTTCACAAATAATAATATCAAAAATAGTTATAGGGAGCTGTTTTCTTAGCGCTGGCGCCTGTCATGAAATAGAGTTTTCTGTAATTTTCATATTGACCAGTAACAAACATATTAAATTGGTAACTGACAAGATCATGTTTTCCTTCATCGCAGACCTGCATGAACGCCCAAGTACTCCTCGCCATGACAGTGTTCACCAGCATCAGCGACATCCGATCGACCCTGGGAGCGGTTCTATTTGAATTTACCACGGTTGAATATGATTGGCCGAACGCAAGTGTCAAGGCTGATTACATATTCCGAGGAGCTTATGTCCCAGAGGCTTGTCAACCTTCAGCATTGAAAGTAGGCGGACCTGATTACATTTTTGTGACGGTTCCCCGTTTGAGATACAAAGATGGCGTACCTGCAAGTCTGAACACTGTTCACGAGAAGTCGCCGGGATCAAAAGAAGCTGTATTCCGGCCTTATCCAGATTGGGACAGCAACACAGTTGGAAACTGCAATGCTCTTCAGTTACCGCCAAGCTTGGAATATGATCCCAGGTAATGGCTGTAAGCATCTCATTCTGTTTCTTTGCCTTTGATTTGATATTTAGAGCCAAATTTAAGTCAAGAGGAGACTCCGTAAGAACACTGGCGTGTCTTTGTCTTCCTCGCGTTCGTCGGCTTTAAACTCTGGCAGAAAGTTCCGGGTGTTTATCCATCTCTAGACTTTAGTCTTGTTCCCGAACCTGAGCGTTGCGTGCACATCCATTTCACAGATCTGACTTATTTTTACGCATATTTTTTATTCCTTGCCTCTCAAGCAGATGTACTACGGCTTCACGGAAGTTCCCAATTAGTCGACTCATACGACCTGCTTGTTGGGGAAAGTAGTGGGTCTATTTTGTTTGTCCCCCCCCCCTCGCCCCCACAATAGGGTCGGGGAAAACACACAGGGATGTACTTGCGTGTAGGTACTTCATATATTTTAGCAGCAGTTCCAGAACCTGTTGGCTCAGCACTTTGGAACACCCGTACCTCAAATTTAGGGGTGAAAAAAGGGGATGGGTGTGGCGAGGGTTGGGGGGTGGGGGGGGGGGAGTTGCTTTACGGACGCCATCTTTTAAAGTATGTTTTTTTTTTTTTACATTTCATACTATTGCAGATATATAATATTGATTTCCAATTAGGCACACATAATAATAATAATAATAATAATAATAATAATAATAATAATAATAATAACAGCGACAACAGCAGCCTGGTTTTATCGCAAAGTGTAACAAAAGAAATAATTATCTGTTTATTCCATCTGAAGGGATTTATGTTTTCTAATTAATTATACGAGGATGTCAACTCTATTGTAATGCATCTGACAAACACAGCGAAACACCGGGCAATAAACTGCGAAATGCATTGTCTGTGTGCTCATAATTTACAAACACTTCTCTTGTTTTGCTATTACCTCTTTTTTCCCCCCCCCCCCCTTTTCCCAAGAACTGGCTATTTGTACGTAATTGACGTTGGACGAGTGGGGATTTGGTCACCAACAGAACCTTCGCTGAACCTGTGTCCAGCCAAAATTGTTGTGTTTGACACCAAACAGAACGGGCGAATTGTGAGGAGTCACGATTTTCCGGAGCACGTCGCACCTCGAAACCACAAACTTTCTCAACGACATAGTTCTTGATTACGTCGATCCAGATCACCCAACAGAAGTCAAATATGCCTACATATCCGACCCGTTAAGTGAGCAGATTTGTTTCACAATTAATGTTCTTTATGTCTGCATTCACAATCCGCATAAATTTTTGCTTTTTTCATGGTTGTCATTTGTGTTAAATTTAAGCATGACTGTTGTGTTATGGTGTATTTTATCATCATCGTCGTCGTCTTCGTCGTCATCATCATCATCAACAAAATCGTCGTAGTAATCAACTATTGTCGTTATCAATATTATCAAATGTTCGACATTGTTGTAGCCTTCATTATAATGCTGTTGTCGTCAACATCAACATCGTTGTCAACCGTTTAGTCCTCATCGCCATCGTCGTCTTCATCATTATCGTTCCTTGACACGGCCCTCGTTGTCATCACCACCATCATCATCACTGTCTGTCTGTATTCTATATCTATTCATTGTATCTATCTTCAACTGTCCTTTTGTTTACAAAGGGGCTTAACTTGTTTTACTGCACAATAGTAATAACTATTATTATCATTATGTGCTGAATGGCAAACGAATATTTTAATATATTTGACACTATATTTAATGCAGTCGACTCTGTGGCTAAGTTGATTCGAACGCTTCGTAATGCCGGGTTTGGTCCCAGCTGCGGACCATGCGCCTTGCGTTGGTTTCGACAGTGGTATCAAGAAAGCCGACCGTCCAGGTACCAATGGCAAACTACTGGACGTAAATTTGCCTAGAAAAACCACACAACAGCCAGGGGTTGGTTCTGCAACGTTCTGTAAAGGATACGCAACTAACCTATATTTAATGCATCAATAAATACTCAAAAAGAGAATGCATATTTCATGAATTAAGGGGAAACCCTCTTACTGCTTATGGGAGTAACTACAGCAAGTGCAATTGAGGAATCGAAAAATCAACGAGGTTCAGGCTTCATTCCCTAAAACATCTTATTTTTATTTTAATTTTTGGTGGGGGTTTCATGCGTCTGAGTACCCCGGTAGTGGCGCCAACGTGACAGATAGAGATTGGTCATTGCAGTAGTTAAACAGTAGTTAGTAGCAGTCAATATTGAAAACCGCAAACAAAGCAATGTACAACGTTGCACACTTGCGTCTTTCCTATGGCTTAAAACTTGTTATGTCGAGGCTGTTTAGCAACATCGAGTACCTCTCTCCAGGGCATAGGCCTGGGGAATGTTGAAGTGGAGTATAACTTGTTCCCGAGGCTGCAGGTATAACCCCCCCCCCCCACCCCACCCTACATCGCCGTGAAACCAAGGGAACGGCCAAATGCCAGTACAGCCAAGATGTTGCAGGAATTGCTGAAGCAGCAGTGTTGAACCACCTTGAGTATTCCAGCTCTGGATTTTTACCTGAAGTAACCAAGAGATGAACATCTCAGGCGTAATCATAGGCCACCAAGAAACGTAAATAAAACAAGAAAAACCCCATCAATATTACAGTTTTTAAAAGGAGTAGAAAATTATAGGTAAGAAAAAAAGTTGGTAAGAAACAACAAACGGTTTATGTTAGCTTTACAAAATCGATCACAATAAACAAACAAAGGACGTTGCGGCGATTAGCCTTCATCGGCACATAAAGAACAATACAGTACACATACACAAATATACTCTAACTATGAAGTGACTACATGGGACTAATTATTAGAGGGCGTTTAGCCAATTGAACAAGGAAGGGGGGGGGGGGGCGCGGGGTGGATTGCCGTGGATTATGTGGGTACCCATTGAATATTCACTAGCTACAATTTTAAGTGTTTCTGTTTTAATTTTTGTTTCTATGTTGTTCTCTCTATTTTGTTCACAATATTTGAGCTGAAAACGGTCGGAAACACACCGAAAAAAAAAAAAAAAAAGGACTGTCAGAAAAAGGGACGTATCTTTAGCCCGGAGTGGTGGTGTCACGTCAAGCCTGACTTGATACGGTCATGATAAAACCACATGTGTATTCTTTCCTAGCGAATCAAGCTTGTAGCCCATCGTTACATACTAACTTATTTTCTGCACACAGGTCAACAACTTGTCGTGTTTGATTTCTCTTCTAACAACTCATGGAGTTTTAAGGACCCCAAATCTATGGGCCCTGATAAAGACAGGTAAAACTGTTATCACCATAATAAAAAATAATAATAGTAAAAAGTAAAAGACCACTTTTACGTCGTTGGGATATCTTGTTAGACATCTATTTTATACACGAACTGGCGCTCAGGGGATCAATATAACCTAAGCTGTTTTCACTTCCCAGGACAATTCGTGTTACTCATTTTAGGTTAGTTCATCTTAGGATCCCAGGTCAATTAAAAAAAATAAATGACCTCATTCAGACTGGAACGCCAGTCATTCGGCAGGCATCTAGACACTGCGCTACCTCTACTCTCTCAACATCACTATCCTTCATTTTCCCGTGTGACCCGCAACATTCAAATAAAAACGCAACAACAATGATTGACGGAATAACTCTTCAAGTAGCAGTCAACTCATCATGCGTTGGTTGGTTTCAGCTGTGATGGTCTGCTTGTATGAACTTTGTGTGATCTTTTTATCTATCTCTTTACTTAACACTCATTTAATATTTATCCCCTCTTCCTCTACTCCGTAACAATTACGTATAAACACCATTAATTTACTGCGTACTTGGCATATAGGGCGAGACCTATATTTTATACAAAATCGGCACTTGGTTGGTGATGTGGTCAACGTCACGCTGGCTGCCTTTATTTCCCAGGACTTTACCTGTTACCCATATAAGACTGGATCGAACTGGAAGGCAAGGTCATTTTCTGAAAATAGTCCAGCTCCGTTTGGTTTTTGAATCCACGAGCTTCGGATCCGCAGGCGAGCGTCTAGCCGCTGGACCACATCGGCTTCACATAGAAACAGTGCCTTGTGATAAAACCCTAATACCATAAAAACTATGTTTTCGCCTTAGTAAAGATTGTCCTTACTGCCTGCTGTGGGGCCTTGATGGGCAGTTAGATCCAAAAAACAACCGGGCATTAAAAGTTATTGCGTACCTTTACGGGATTTTTTGCAAACCAACCTTAAAGCCCCTGGCTTTTTGTGTGGTTTCTCTAGCAATTTCACCAGTATTTGCCTTGCTTACTGAGGGGTGGTTTTCCTTTGATACCCCTTGAAACCAACGCAGGCCATTCCCCGCAGCGGGGATCAAACCTTGCTCCCGCTTAAAGCGAAGCTTTTTCGCTCGATTAGCCACAGAGCCGACATACCGGCATTACCAGAGAAATTCCAAAGGATCTAACTACCCGGCCCTTTTAAAGTGATGCTTGCCACTCTGCCCGACATGCCTGTCCCCCACCTTTTTCTACAAATTTTTCGTTCAGTATTTCCCAAAAATCGGCTCTGTGGGTAAGTCGATGCAAAACTTCAATGCCGGGTGCCGGTACATCACAGCTGCACGCCTGCCCTGGCGTTGGTTTCGACTGGGGATCAGGGGGGGCCCACCGCCGTGGCAAACTTTACTTACTTACTTTTCTTAGTCCTCCCTCTTCTACCTTGGGGTGTGAGGTTTTCCAAGAGATCGCCCCGTCTCCCATCAGCAAATTTTTTTTCTGGCTTTGTTCCATTCCCGTCCTCTTCATTAGGATGTCGGGAGATGGCAAACTACTGGACGTAAAAATTTCCTAACGAACCCACAACACCCTGGGCTTTTTTCGGTTGGGTTCGCAATCCTTTTAAAGGACACGCAACTAAACCCGTTTGCCATTCTTACTAATGTTCAGCTCTTGATACCCAAAGTTGAAACTAACCAAGCGGCGGGGTGCCAAAACGCCTGCACTGTATCGAACCCGCATCTCAGCATTATAACGCGTTCGCAAAAGCCTAACCACATAACCATTTATTTTTACCAGGGGATTTAGGGCCCAAGGCTACAGAGCCCATGATCTGTGGCAGAAAGAGCTCAGTGTTCTTAGCTTGGGTTGCTTTTGCGAAAAAACAAAACTTTTTTTTCCCCGGGGGGGCTAGGTTTGTTCGCTTTAAAAAAGCTTAGCATTGCCGCCACCAAGTATTCTAAAAAACCGGCCCCCAACACACAACTCACGCACGCTCGCACACACAACACAACCTTTCACGTTGTGCATCAAAGGAGACAGACTGAAATACCCCCGACTGGACGAAGTCTATCGGTCCCGGGGGA